TGAATTCATTAAAATAGAAAAACAAACACTTATGAGAACGCAACTCATCATTTAATTTGTCGAGTTTGATACCCTAATTTACGTGATCTGAAAAATAAATCTCACTCTGATTTCCACAGTTTCTTCATCTTCTGGTATAGTGTTCTGGTTTGTGTCGTCGCCATGGCGGAGCTCCATTAGAGGTAATGGGTGGCTATCAATCATAAATTAAGAGCAGAGAAATTTTATTGTGTTGCCTTGCGTCTTATTGCTTAGTACATCTGATGGGTGGCTGTCATTAGATTACTTGGGTTGCTTTTCACCAACACAATTCTCACGTGGAAGAGACTAAAATCTTAAAATAGGTTTTGTTTAATCGAGTTTTGAAACCCATTGCACCTCTGGAATGTCTATTTAGCAAATTATTTTTTAAACTTAATTTTGAATTATCTTTTAGAAAAAAAAAATACAAAAACAAAACAATTTTTGGATGATGTGATCTTTACCGTAGGAATTCTAAAAACAACATTATTTCTAAGCATCAATCTGTTTTTAAATTTAAATATGAAGTTTTAAAATACAAAATAACATTAAAAAAAATGAAAATTTGATTGAGCTTCAAGGGAGGCATCATTCATGGTTGAAGGATAATAGGGGAAGGAGACATTGGTCATAGTACTCCTCCGATACCGAGACAAGAATCGTACGCAACTAAAAGGAAAAGGCTGTTATTGCATTATTGCATTTAATTGATCGATAGAAATGTGTGAGCATTACTCACCTTTATACAAGACAGACCCTGACATTAGGGTTTTATAATAAAAAGGAAAATAAGGAGCCATTCTATTAGTTCATCTCGAACAACTTGGAGAAATTCACAAGGAAATAAAGGAACCGGAAGAAGAAAAGCGCTACATGTATATACTTTGTTACTCCTTTTTATTACTACAAGAATTTAAAGTTTTAGCGATTAAAGTTTAGCGATGAGAACTCTGGTGACGTAAAGAAAGTTCGTCGCCAAAGGTGGGACTTTTAGCGACGAAAATGATGTTCGTCGTCGAAAATCCATACTTTCAGCGACAAAAGTGATGTTCGTAGTCGAAAGTGATTTCAGCGACGAAATTGATGTTCGTCGCCTAAAGTCCTTGTTTGGCGTATAATTTGTACCGCYAGAAGAGACTTTTGACGACAAATCTGGAAGTCGTCGCCAAAAGTCAAGATCTTTGGCAACGAACGGTATTAGTCGTTGATGATAATTRATTGTACAGTCTAACTATAATTTTATTTTTTAAGATAGAAAAATCTTCATGTTTTGATATTCATATGGGTCATTCCAAAATCAAATAAGATTAGAAATTACCTAACACAATCACGAAAATAACTCCAACTTAATTACAAAATATCATCAATTGAATTAAATAATTTGAGAAAGTTAATATACTATTTTTTTTAAAGGAAAAATCATTTCATTGAGAAGAGATGTGAGAAGCATACAAAAGAAGGAGGCTATATAAAAGCACTCCAATTTAGTGAAATGTTAGATAAATTATAATTACAAAAAGGATGGGAATTTGAGGACCAAGTTGATGCTGAGAGTACTTTAGTATCCTCCCAAAGTTGAATAGAAGAGCGAGATTTGTCCGAAAAAGATCGGTTGTTTATTTCCAACCAAACACTTCAAATACAACACCGCCAATACCATTTTTCCAAAGAATGGATCTACTGCTATCAGATGAGGGGTAGAGTGCCTCGGTGAGGAAAAGCTCAATAAGCCCAGGGAGAGCAGAGAAAAGATTGAAAGAGGAAAATAGATTATTCCACAATGTAGCTGTGAAAGAGCAATGGAGCAACAAATGATCTTATGTTTCGCCCAAGCAGTTGCACAAAACGCAACAGTTTGGACTGATATTCTTCGGAGATGGAAATCTGATTTGCATCGTACCAAATGTGTTAATACCACAATGGAAGACGCACCATTAAAAAAAAAAACTTGCATTTTTTAGGAAGATATAAACTCTACAACTTAGCAAAAGGTAGTAGAAATTGAGTAGAGGAAGGGTAAGCAAGCTTAGATTTTATGGACTTTACTAAAAAGATACCATCTCTCAAGAGAAGCCAGAAAGGTCTGTCGAATCCATTAGAATCAGAAGGCGGAGAAAAGCTACTGAGAGATGTTATCCCACAAAATCTGCTCTCTGTCAAATAGAACTCCGAAAAAGTTAATATACTATGAGATGTGCTAGTGGTATGACTAGAAAGTTTTCAATGACATAACAATATTTGCTGACTCTTTAAGTCATCATTTCTCCTCTGGGAAGATATAAAGGTTTTAGCTATTCTGGTCCTCCAAATCCAACTCTTTGAGCGCCTTTATCTAACCTCTTTCCTATATCTTTGTATGTTTTTCACATATCTTTTTTAATGAAATTGTTCGATATCTTTTATAAATATATATATATACACACTATGAGATGTGTGGGTGTAATAACCCTAATTTTGTGTAAGCTGTATATTAAAATATTTATAAGATTGCAAGATTTTTTGTCAACCCTACTCAAATATGCTTGGAATTTTTGTTATCCCTACTTCAATACCAAATATAGACTCACCTTTACAACTTCAAACTATACAAATCTTGCCCGTAAGCTTGCCTCCTAAATAACTCTAAAAATCAATCTTGATCGTCATTGATGTGAGCCTTAAAACTGGCAAAAGACTTGTTTTAATTAGTTTCGAGGTCCTAGAGAGAAGCAAAGAGAATCATAAGCTCTAGATCTCCTTGGTTTCACTGTTAGAATCCATAATGAATTAAATTTACCCAACCCATCAGCTTAAGCTTTTTGGGTTGAGTGGTGGTTTATTCATCCTTAAAATTCACATCTTCAAATTTGCTGATTGACCGAAAAATTCGTCAAAATAGGTGGTTGGTGATGACACAAATACCCGCCATATGAAGATCATGACCAGATCGCCTATTTTGGCTTCAGTCAAGCAGTGGTATTTTTTCCATTAAATCTGTAAAGTCAGTTTTATCTGCCAATGCTCCAGAGGCTTTTTTGGACTTCTTCTCCTACTTTTGGAACATGCTCTTCCCAAAAAAATTATGAATCCTCTCCCTCTTAATCCCTTTATAGAGTCGAAGGGATATTTTGTGGAGCAATGCTGTGGTGATCTCTGCCATTTGGAATATTTGGTTGGTGCGTAACAATCGCATTTTTCGGATACTTTAAGATCTTGTACCCACATTTGGGATGAATCTTTATTCAAAGATTCTTTCTTCATCTTGAACATTCAAATCACCCATTCTTTTGTAATTATGATCTTTCTATTCTTTTGTAACTATGATCTTTCTATATTATTTCTCTCAATTTGAGTGCTTTTGTCTAAGTCTTATAAGTGTTCATCAAAAGTAATGGATCCAGAAAAATAATATTGGCATGCATAAATGATGTTTGAACTATTCACGCAGAATCAAACAAAACGGAGAAGGAAATTACATTTGGACCCACTTAAGCTTAGATTTGAGCTTTGAAGAGGCTTTGCAATGGGTCAAGCAAGGGCACTTCTAGCTACCTTCTTCACATCATACTTAACCGAAGAGAGCACAGATCACGGCAAGAATCATTGTAGGATAAACATAAACAGAATTTGTAGGATCTGTGTTCATTGGTTTTCCAAGGATTCCTTCCTTAACAAGACCCCAAATTACCAAGAGCATTCCAAACATGCTCATCCTCCCGGGCTTCAAAAGACCCACAAACAAGAATAGGATGCAAAATAAATTAACTTCAATCATGATGGGTGGCTCATTGGTCCAAAGTGATTGGGGTTAATTGAGAGGGAACAAGTTCAAATATGATGATAACCACCTACTTTAGAAATTAGTAATTCCTATGTGTTTTGAGACGTCAAATGTTGTAAGGTCAAGTAGTTGGCCCGTGAGATTAATCTAAGTCCCATGTTAATGGTATCAAAATTTTCAGATAGAATATTAAGCTATGATACAAAATAGATTAACTTGCAATCGCAATAGACTCATTTGCAAAGGATTCTGACAGACCCCAAAAGTTAGTATATAGAGAGTAAGGGGGGAATGGCTTAGCATTTAATGTGAATTTTGATGGGAAAAATTCCTTGCTTCTACTCAAGGAATAAACAGAAAATAACTGATAAAATAATTATGAAAATCTATCTCATCTTTTTTCTTTTTTCTTTTCTTTTTCCTTCTTTTTTGAAGAGAAAACCAAACCATTCATTATCAAACAGAAACATGCATATTTGTATGCGTAAGCATGTACTCAAAGTTTCCAATAACCTATAGAATTTGTAAATATCTTCGTCTTTGCTAAACACACGGTTGGATATTCAACTTCGATGTTTCAATTTCAAATTTAATATAAAATCATGCGATTAATGACCAAGAAATAATAAGTATTAAATTCGCATAATGTTAACTTACAACGGAAATAAAACTTTAGTCAATCAAAAATACATAAAACCCAAAAGTTCATATATAGTTTCAGAAATTAAACAGAGATTACAAAGCACTAATCAAAACATAAATAAGATGAAAATAAAGGAAGAGATTTTATCCCTTAGAAAAAGTGTCTTTAGTTGCAGCATCCTCTAAACACACCGCTGCAAGTTCACAGTGCCTCTCCTTTATTCTTTTATTTGGAAACCCTCTAAATTGCCTTCTGATCAGACAGAACATTTTTTCACCTATAAAAATAAATGAGAAATAAGATATAACATCTAGAATAAAAGAAAAGTAACATAAACTACACATATCACAACTCCAAACAACAACCAAAAAATCACACCAAGTAAAAATTTTAATTTCTAATTTTTTCATAACATTAAAAATAAGAACTCAATTTTCCCCTCACAGATGTAAACGATCAAATATAAACTTTGGGTGGAAGCGTTGCTCCTAAACTATAATGGGATTAAGAATTTGTGTTAATAATCCTAAGATAAGTAACTAAAGAGAATTTATAGTATAAGTAGGCTAACTTGGTTCACTTAGGCTTAGGCATGGAGAGTACAGCTACCACCGCTCGCATGAGAGTGAGTAAAAGCAGGACGACGGCAGCAATGAAGGAGATCAAAGCCCACGGCGTGTTAAAATAGTCGTGTTTCAACGAAGCCATCCATCGATGGCGGCGGTGCTTGCAGTATTTTCTCATTTTCTGACATTCATAGTTGTACAAATTTCTTTCGGCCACAACGTTCTTACAAAGGTCCTGGAACAACTTAGTAACTTCCTTTGCGCTTTCCAAATGGTTGTGGATAATCCCCTCCTTTATGAGCAAATTTACATCGTTGTCGGAGTTCAACAAGAAACGCATGAACATCAAGAAGTTGCTTACGCCTGGACTCTTGCGAATTGTATACTCGTAAGCTATGATGTTTCTCATCGTGCTTTCGAAAGTCTCATTTATTATGATGTGAGGCACTCTGAGAATGCCGGTACGTTCATCAAACATCTTTTGAGAATAATGTGATTTCTTCTCGAAAGAAATGCCGTAATCGTAAAGCTCAGTGGCAGTGGGTGGCCAAACAGAAACCATGAGTGGGGTGCCGTCCAATGATTTTGAAGAATCGTCTTGATGAGGAAAGTTCATATAACAACTTAGAAAATGAATAAGATGCTTCACTTCTAATTTGTCTTCCTCTACCCTAAAATCCTTTCCAAGATAACCGATCCCTTCACGGTCAATAAAAAATTGATGAGTAAGTTGAATGAAAGAGGTGTTTCCAAGTATAGTTTGATTATTGGAGACGCACAGGTCGTATAGAGACCGGAGAAGAAAGAAAGGAAGTTGGTTTTGAAACAGTAACAGATCTCTGAATACTGCATCGTTGAATCTCCAAAAGAACGATGACGTGTCGATGTCCTGAAACTCCGGGAACACAGAAACCAGCATATACATGACCACGAAACAACCATCCATGACTAGAAACTTCACAAACTGGACTGTGTCCAATTTTCTCCGACCTATGAACAAATAACAATCACGAGCTGTTTGCTCCCAACCTATGACTCGTCCTATAATCTCATTCAACTCCACTTTCGCAACGGAAGAAAACTTTCCGACAAAGCAGCCTTTCATGATCTTATCATTATTTCCACTTACAAAATGCTCGACAGTAGGATCAGGATGGCCGATGAAGATGAATTGGGGAATATAAGCTTCTGGTTTCATTTCGAACAGAGCTGCCGGAACGTTGCCAATTTTGTCCAACTCCATAATATTTGAAGAATTTTCTCGAGACGACTGACCTAAAACGATCCATAATTTTGAAATTCTATGTAAATTTAAGAAAGAAAGAAAAAGTAATTTTCAAAAACAAATTTCATCCATGGATGCCACCAGCTCTAGATCCACACTGCTAATATTACAACCTGATCAATACTGCCATTTTCTTCTTCTTCTGGTTCATTCTTCTCATTTGCTTTGCGCCATTATTGCCCACCTCCATGTTAGAGGCATAAAAATTAGAAAGAAGGGTGTAAAAAGATTTTGAAATATAAAGTTGTTGTATAAAAGGTTTATGTGATCACGCACGTCGAAAAAAATAAAATAAAAAAATAAAAATCCGATATACTTTGTAAATTTAAACAGTTTATACCCCTTATATTTATTATCTAATTAATATTAATATAGAATAAATAATAGTAATATAGTAATCAATATCATTTATAATATTAGTATATCAACTAACAAATTACAATTATAAACTAGAATTTAAAAAATTGATATACCTTATATTTAGTACATCAGTTGCAAATATATTTAGTATATCATAAATTTGGGATGAAATTTTGTTTGTATACTCCGACTGACATAATTCAAGAAAGTCTGTGCTAAAATTTGGAGGAAAATTATTGGAACGTTGAAATAATGTGATTTGATAATTCTGCAGAATCATATATAATAATTACATGTAAATTCTTTTGCGTTTTGCCAGACTTTAATTTACGATTTGAAGTCAATTTATCACTCTAATGGGTTTTGGTTTTTCCATAATTTCATATCACTCCTGATTATTTGTATAAAGTTACAAGAAGAAAACACCCTTTAAGATAGGTAAGAAATGAGGTAGTAATTTTTATGGCCAAATCATCAAAATTATTGGGGGCGAGGGTTTTGGTTAAAACACCCTTTGCTGCTTTTGTTACTCTTGGGAAAGAGCTCAGATTCAAAGAGGTAATGGTGGTGGCGAGGTCCATTAATTTATCGAGTGAGGAGAACAATGGCACATTGATCGAACAATATTCAATAAACAAGTCTACATGGGACGCACAATTCCAACCAGGTAAAGATCCCTTTACGTGTGTACTAGTATGGAGACAGTGCGCATACCTACGTATAGAGGCAAAAACATAACTCAATAAATACGGACCTCCACGATGATATGATATTGTCCTGTTTTTTATTTCATCCCAAAGTAACCAAAAGACCTAATTGGAGACAAGATTGGAGAAAATTTTAGCCGCGCATGCCATGATCATGAAGCTAATGGCCGGTGGTGGGTATCATACATTTAATTAAGAGCAGAGAAATAGACAAGTGATGTGGGTGGCTATCATAAAGAGAAGATAAGATATGTTTGCCATGGTTTTTTGGTCGTCATCTCAAGAAATTGCATTGGATGTGTTCACTGTTTATGAATATGTATTCAAGTGACGATGGATTTGAAAATTGAATTTGATTCAACGTCTGGACAAGGAGGATTTTGTAATTTTCTTTTCATTAACAAATCTGTTGGTCAATCAATTTTCTTGATATTTAGGTGAGCGGATAGACCGAGTAGTCAGTTTTTTATTTTGGAAAACCGACTCCGACCAACCGATGCTGCCCTAAATGATGTGTTTGTATATAAAAAAGAACTTGCCCTCATAAATTATATATAAAAGATTTTGAAGTCTGTATTTTATTTATTTTTAATTAAATTTTGTTCAGAAACGACAAAGACAGAAAAAGGGTGTCTAGAATAATGATATAATGGGCAATATTAATCTTACATAATACATATAAAGGTGAAGTAAAAGTGGTAGAGTTTTTATGAATATTTCGACCACTGGGTCGAAGCAATCAAATCTTGAGACACAGGGCACAATTCGATAACAAGGTAAAAACTTTTCTGGATAATAATTTCTAATTTTCTATAACGTTTTTCACGTGGACGTACGGAGGGGTGCAATTAGGGTGAGAAAGCAAGAACAAGAAGAAGAAAGAAGAATATGGGCATCGAGGGAAAGAAAGTAGGTGCAGTGGTGATGATCATGGCAATCATGTTTACTATAGTTTTAGCACAGACTGCTGAAAACACAATGATTGAGCTGGTGTCTGATGATGCACCAAAGTATTTATATGTTGTTGGTAATGAAAATAGCATGGGGATGAGAAAATTGATGAAGGGCCCAGTTGTCAATGGATGTGCGGGAACTTTTTGCAATGCCTTTGTATTCTGCAATTATGACGCCGGCTGCACTTGTTTGAATGGCTTTGTCGCTGGAGTATGCATTTATGGATTCTAAACTCTAAACTCAACTCAATATCTCTATTATCCTCCTAATCTTATCTTTATCATGTGTGTTAAGCCGCGTGAAACTGTCGTCAATTTAAACATTTAATAAGGCATCATCTTCGGTATGCTCTCTCTTCTTTATCCTTATGTCTTAACCTTCCTTCCGCCATCAATCCATTGTAAATATTTAGTTCTTCTATTTAATACTTTGCTATCTAACATATGTAGTTGCTAGTCGCCCAAGTACTTGTTTGACTCCAATACATAATCACGTTAATACACCTACTCAAAATAGCATTACCTATTAAATGTCAAATTTGGGAGTTGAACTAAAATGGAATTTGAACTTTTAAATGTTTTAATTTATCCACTACATTCCTACCCAATTCATAAAGTTAACCATTTCTATCTAAATTAAAATTTCATAAATTACTTTGGGTTGCTTTTCACCAACACAGACTAAAAACTTAAAATAAGTCATAATTATATTTGATTAATTATGTTTTTCCTTCTATTTCCAATTTTCCAGACGTCTGATTCTTAGTGTACTGTGATATTCCTACGGATTACCTAAATTTATATACGTCCATTTTCCCCCAAATCACCTATTATCCAATTATGATTCTTTATTTTTCCTTATATTTATATTTGTATCTCTACCTCTCCTTTACGATTTATATCTTAATTATCTTTCAATTTTTTCCAACTCTGATTATTTTTCTCTTGATTTTAAGACCAAATAAAAAAAAAGTAAAGTGAACAAATAAAAATAGAATAAAATTAACTGCGCAAAAAGTACGTTTCGAGTTGGAAAATTTTTTTCAACTCAATAGGAAAAAATGAAGAAACAGTTAATAAATAAAAATAGAATAAAATTTCCCGAGCAAAAATAGCCAAAAAATTCCTTTATCTAAGTTTCTTCAAAGACCTTTGGGACATCCTCTTCCCTAAAAAATACAAATTTTGTATTTGGTGCATATTACACCGGGCGCTCAACACACAAGCTAAGAAAAGCTCTCCAATGTCGTTTGACATCTTCTTGCATTAGTCACAACTGGTGTGTTCTATGCGATTCGACAAGTGAAACTTTAGATCATTGGTTTCTCCATTGCAAATATGCAAACACCATATGGACCCTCCTCTTGGATGCTTTTAACTTCAGTACTGTCTTTCCTTGTCACATTGCTACCACTCAGTCGAAATATTCATCAAAATCTACCACTTTTACTTCACCTTATTTGTAAGATTATTGTCCTTGCACATCTGCCAATTATCTCATTATTTTAGAAACCCTCTTTCTTTCTTCGTCATTTCTGAATACATTTAATTCAAAATAAATAAAATACAGACTTAAAAATTTTTTATATATAATTCATGAGGCCAATTTCTTTTTTACTCGGCCCTTCCCAAACACATCATTTATTAAGGGCAATCAACTATAATTGAAAAACCGATCCACCGATCCGATCGATAAAAACCAATCGAACCAACGTCGTCGTCGGTCAGTCGGACTCACCTAATATCAATGAAAACCGAACGACTGATTTGATAACAAAAAGAAAACTACAAAATCCCTCTTGGCCAGATGTCCACGGTCAGTGGAGCCCTTACATTCACGTGATTTTATTTTATTTTTTGTTTTTTTACTTGATCTTTCTCTCACCCACGTGGCTTGTTTGGTTTCCCATCTTTTTTCTTAATTTTTATTTAGATTTGTATTTATTTATTTTATCTAATAATTATATTTTAAATCTTATTTTTATCTTTCCATTATAATTTTTTTATTTTTTTATAATTTCTTTTCTTTCTTTAATATATTTTTTCCTCCCCGACTTTAACTTTTTTTCTTCTAAAGTTTTTTCTTTTGTATCCTCAACTTTTATTTCACTGTTTTTTTTCTAAATCTTTTTATTTATTTCTCTAAAATTTATCTTTTAAAAGTTTATTTATATCTCTTTAAACCTGTATTTTTATGTCACTGCATTACATTAGTAGATGACAAAAATCTTCGTAGGGTCGAACTCCAAAAATAGGAAATTTATGTCCCGACCCCATCCCTGATTCCATTTTTCTAAATAATTAATATATTTATTACACCTTTTTATACTTAAATTCTAAAAATAATTATAAACAATTATAAAATCCACCATTATAAAAATCCACCCATCAAAGCATGTGTTGCAAAGGCGAAACAAGAAGCCAACAGTCCAACCAAAATTTGTAGCTCACTCAGTTGGGAGCTAATTGAAGTTGAGCTCTTTGTATATCCAATTTATCTGCGTGGAATTGTGTTCATCCATGATTATTGATGCTTCATTCGTTTCACTTTTAATTTTAACTTATTCAGTGCGCGCGAAGCTTCAAAATGGAGCTCCGCGATGGCACCACCACAAACCAGAGCACTATATCAGAAGAAGATAATGTGGAAATCAAAATTATTCGTAGTGGGATGTATCACTGGATCGTTTTAGGTCAGTCGTCTCGAGAAAATTTTTCAAATATTATGGAGTTGGACAAAATTGGTTTCGTTCCGACGGCTATGTTCGAAGTGATACTCCCCCAACTCATCTTCATGGGCCATCCTGAATAAGGGGAAGTAATTGAAAGAGTTCACAGGAAGTTGGATAGCTGGAAGTTCTCATATATATCAAAATTAAAGGAGGTCGACTAACTCTCCTCCAATACGGTTCTTAGCAGTCTCAACTTACTATCTTTCAGTTTTAAAGCTTCTGCCAAAATTTATAAAAGCATTGAGAAGTTAATGAGAACTTTTCTATGGGAGGGCACAGGGATGACCGATTGCTCCCACCTTGTCCGATGGGATATCATAACGCTATCCAAGGAGAGTGGAGGTTTAGAGATTGGCAACATAGGGCTCTCAAATACAGTCTTACTAACAAAATGGCTCTAGAGATTTCTTGTGGAGAAAGACAGCCTCTGGACAGCCTTGATAAAAACAAAATACTCTTCTAGCATTATTGACGCCTTCCCCTCAATTTGTACGTAACAAATTGAACTAATTGTACATAACAAATTAAGTAAAAGTACAATAGGTCCAATATAGTTCATTCTTCTCACTTGCTTCGTGACCATTATCGGCCACCTCCATTATTTAGAGGCACGAGAAGATCGACAAGCTAGCCATGGAGCAACTTGGGGAAAGAAGAAAATTATAAAGAAAGCAAGCTGGGAAAAAGGATGGTAGAAGAAAAGTACACTGATACTAGAGGCCAGCTGATTGGTGAAACTTACAAATTGAAAATTTTAAATGATAATTAAAGACTAAATAAAAAATAATAATTTGAAATTTATATTTAGTCTTACAAATGTGGGAAAGTTTAGTTCTATAGAAAATGTTGCAGATATTTTTACTTTGAGCTATTGCCCCAAGTTGGCAAATTGGTCATTGATAAAACAACATTGATTGATTGAAAAAGTGACATAGTTTGATAACAATGTTCACCATTTTTTTTTTTTTTTGAGGTGCACTATAGTCCATTATTATTACTTTAAATCTAGTTCAAATTTTCAAGCCACCAAAAATGATGACTTTAAATCCTCACATCCACTGTTGTATTGAATGAGAAAAAAAAATTTATTTTTAAAAATAAATAATACTTCATATCTCAGGTTTAAAAATATATAATATAAAGTTTTTATAGAACTATAAAGTTAAATAAAATAAACATCAATATACTTGAAAAGTTCAAAATTTACCAAGTGGATGAGATAATTTTAATCTTAAACTTTTAGTTTCATAAATCTAAAGCCTAAACTTGAATTAATGTTGTAATTTATATCTTTTCGGAGCTAAATTTAAAAATTGTCAATCAACCAACTAACAAATCATAAACTTCAACTAACCAAACACCGAAATCAAATCAAATTAGAAATAGTAAATTCAATCACAAAAATATTCGAACTTAGTTACAAAATCAAGTAAACAAAAAATGTTCAAACTTAGCAACAAAATATACAAATCCAATTCTAAGGAAAAAAAATCCAGCAA